AAAAACAGGTCAGAATGGTTAATGAATCTATGAACAAATGAATAAATAAACCTCTTGCAGTTCATGGGAATGCAACTCCAACCGGAGGAGAAAGCAATATATTCTAGTTCCAAAGAAGGCAAAAATCCTTTGTTTTGTCCTCCAGATGAAGGTGCTTTGACATCACATGCAAGGGTCTATTCAAAAAACTAATTAGATTGAGGATTAATGAATGGATTAATGAAGAAAGAAATCAATGGAAAAAAAGTATTGTGGATGAACAAAAAATGAGAGTTGAACACATGAAAACTGGGATGAATTTTTAGGTGTTCATTCATTCATTGATTGAAAAAAGAAACTTTATCCTTTGATTTATTGTAGGTGTCCCAAGTGTGTTAGTTGGTGGGTCTGGTGGTGTTCAGATATTCACTATGTCCAAACAAGAAGGTAATAAGAAGTAGTATTTGAGTCTTCCAAGTATAGTAACTCAAAATATGAATGATAGATTGTATCTTTGGGGTTTGCATTGGTCATAAAAGATAATAAAACCCAGGAAAAAAAACACTGTTTTGTTGCAGGTACAAGTTCAATCAAAGTAGATGAAACGAAATTCAGTTCTTCGTTCCACTGTTTTCCATCAGGCGACCAGTTTGTGCAAGGTAATTTTCCTTAGTAAGGAAAACTGATTGCTGGCCAGTGTATGGTCCAGTGAGTGAGTCAGCAAAAGGAATGTTTTTTTTACCTTTAGTAGTGACTTTTTCAGCCTATAAAAATAGCACCTTTTTTCAGCCTGTCTCAAGTGTTAAATTATGTTTCTAATATTTTTGTCTTCCAGACATACAAAGGTGTACTTTTAGTTCCTGCATTTTATCTGATAACAGTGGAAGTCTTTGGCTTTTTAATGCCTCAAAACTTAGTCAAATTCACTTGCCAAGTAGTATCAATGGCCATGGTGTATTTGGTGTGCAAATGAAGTGTAAAAGTGTCCCTGAAGGTTGGTTTTTGTGTCTTATTGATGTAAAATATTTTTCTAGAAATCATGTGCAAATGGCAAAAACTTAAATATTGGTAATTCTTGTTTTTATGCAGGTTGGATGGTTACAGTCCAAAAGAACCAAACTGTTAACATCTACAAACTAGAGGATGTCCTCAAAATGAACCAGACTGGCTTAATTGCTCAGCCTTGGCATGTTATMTTTTCCTCCTGCCAGCTTAACTGTGCCACATTCATAGATGCAAATACATTGGTTGCCAGCTCTCCTTCAAACCGAACACTTTCCTTGTGGGCTGGGCTCAATTGCTTGGTTAAATGAGAGATACTGGTGTATATCAAGTGGCAGAAGACAGCAATGTGCGAAGTACATTACTAAAGAGTACATTACTAAAGATATAGAGAAAAGTCAAGAACATGAACACAAATGGTTGACACTTCCACAGCAGGTGGAAAATAATCTCTGAAGTGTCACATGAGTAAGTGCAAAGGCAGAAATCTTCACTAAGACTTCAAACTCTTCTGAAGTGAATAGATTAAAAGCTCTTTCACACAACTATGAACTGTGTTATGATTTGCTATTTTAAAAACTAAATAGTTTGTCAAACTAGTATCAACTGTCTTTTGTTTAGTAGAGTGATTGCACTTAATCCTTGCAACTGTGCAAACTGAGTAGTTCTATTTAGGGACGGTACATTTAACTTTTGAGAGGGGGGGATGATTTCTTGTGAGCAAGATTGTTTTTTTCTTCGTGTCTTTTGGGTAGGATATATATTTTTTCTCTTGGTGTTGTGTAGGAATTTGTTTTTTTTCTTGTATGTAAAGATAGTTTAACTTATGACATGCGACAAACTAATTAGGCAAACAGTTTTGATTTTGCCTTTTGGTAGCCTACTACACCCTAATAGTTACTATTAAACACTGACTAGTAGTTATTGTTTCACAGACTRGTGAAAATGACTCTAGTCAGTAAGGAACCATTACTGGTATAAGCATTTATTTCATGTCTCCTTGTCATTGTTTACAATTTTATTGTGATTGATGTCATACCCTTCTCACAGGATTAACAAGCTACAAGTTCTGAATTTCTGTCAATATCTGATATCTACAAAATTAGCATTGAATGAAATTCTTTATTTTGTGCCTCCTTGTCACTATCTTTACAATTTTATTGTGATTGATGTCAAACTCTTCTCCTATAAGTTCTGAATTTCTGTCAGTAACTGATATCTTATCTACAAAAATAAATTCTCTTTAATTTCTAAATTGGTGTTTTTATCTCTTTACTAGAGCAGTGAGTGATTGGTCATTTTCACAGTGAAAAACATCACTTGGTATTTGAATCTTTTTTGCTGCAGAATGCAGAGTATTGATGTAATCAGGAATACCTGAAAAATATCAAACATATAATATTGAGTATGTATTTTGAAGATATGTAAATACTGGAGTTATTTTCTTTTTGTTTTCAAATTGTAAGGCTACATGTAACATTCCTGTCTGTTTTTGGTCACAACATTTTGACTATTAGACTTTTTCATTGACTTWACAGAGGAGCTAGTAGTAGACTTCATGATCAGACTACCACAAACTTTTCTATTTTCTATTCTCTKTTCTCTGTCTCTTTTTTGTGGAAAGTAGTTYTTCAYRTGGTATAATCKTACCTGCTGCGGAGGCATAATTCATGCAGACTGAYGGTATTGTCATTCTGGGATTGTCAWATGATGAAAGAACAAAGTCCATTCCATTCTATAATRAAAGACTGAATTACTTGACATAATAATACATTAATACTTAGTGTAATAATACAGACAATAAATATATACAAAGCAATGTCAGTGAGCTGGTGACCAAGGAGTTCATGATATTATCAAACCTTGGTGAATAAGAACACTGATTTAMTCTGCGAGAGTTTYAGCACGTGATTTATCATGTTGTGCTCTCAAATCCGTGACTCTAACCTCGCCTCAAGTGTAAGCATTGTGCATAAGCATTAATATCTYTGATTAAACCAACCTCATCAAAAGTTCGATGTGGACGAATRACCATATGKGACGCATATTCATTAACTCGCACATGGTCGTCATTTTCTGGGTATTTKGGATGRCTTGTTGCCCTGGAAAATCAATGTAAGATGTGTTKATACTAAGCAAGATTCGGTAACTGTGTAACTTAATGTGATCTGTGCTGTGGCACRGTTTATGAAGTCTAAGAAACTTGATGTACTTTGATAAGTGTAAGGCACCGAGTGTCAATATTGTACTTACTTTGAGATCAATACTATCTTTTTTTCTTCCTCATCAAACTTTGATCTCCTGATCATGACATAATCTCTTGTTTTCAATGGATACTAAAACAAAACAATATTTTAGACATTGCATGTGAAACTCACATATTTCAGACAGCAATCGCCAATACTTACAGGATATTTCATGATCCAGTGCAACACTTCGCAGTTACTTTCYGGRTCGCGGTCAATAATATCTARCTTTGCTGCRTACTTGTCCCAAATTCTACGATATTCTGTATCAACCTGCAATTTGATTGATGRCGTTACTAATGATGGTTTGCAAACCATATCATAGAACTACATTATTACTAATTAATATTACTATTTAATTAATACTTACTTGTATAGTAAAGAAAGACCTTGCACTAATATCAAAAAACGTACCAAACACTGCAATAAGAAACATAAATAATGTTATAAAATCACTTCTCTATATAAAATAATCACATATCATCAAAAAAAGCAATGTCCGTGAACAGGTGACCAAGGCATTCACTATAATCATACCCTGATGAATAAGAACACTGATTTACTCTACGAGAGTTTTAGCACGTGATTCATCATGTTGTGTTGTCAAATCCGTGACTCTAACCTCGCATCATACAGAACATATTGAACCGTAGCATCAGCCAGCTCACTTGTAGCATGTACTACTTCATTACTCATATAGCACAAAATGCATAATATWAAAAGTGCATTTCATGTACGAATGAAACCAATCCTAACCTTTATACTCATAGATCCCTGTCTCCATCTGCCGTCTTAGCACTGACATATGGTCTTGTTTTGATAGTATTTCCCATTTTTCTATTGMATCTTCATTTTCAACTTTTCCTTCTGGTGTTTTCTCAGTTTTCTCTTCATCTATTTGAAGATTTTTTGTGCAACTGTGAAGAGGAAGAATAAAATTATTTAGTATGAGATCAAAAGCAAAGTTTCTCRAACTAAATGAATACAATATTGCTGGTGACTGTTTAAGACTGAAACAAAACAAGACAAAAAGCCTCCGACATCAATCATGTTGATTTTTTACGTAACGTAAGTTACATAAGTACAAAAGCCTAGCCATCTTATGTAGTTAAAAATTGACATACTTTATCAAATCATGATCTGTTATTCTTTCCTGTGCCCAAAAGAATCCCCCAGCACCAAGAAGAACAGCTTCTGAAGACATCTTAGCTTCGTGCTTTGGGAGATCTTCAAGATTGTTCACTGACTCACGCGGACGAGATTTGAGTTCATTATGGCGATGATGGCGTCGCCTCAAATGTTTTCCTTGACGTTTCCCGAACACAAACTTTTCTCTTTCCAACCTGACCTTCTCACAAACCACATTCATAGCAGTGGAAAGAACTTTCAAGTTTATTCTAGGAGGTAATGTATTAGCGCCGTCAGGAAAGTTAAACTTCCTTGCAAGTTTTGAGCTCAACACACTTGGGTTGATTTGCTCGAAGTTGACGTTGGATCGCACTGCGAAGCAAAGTTGAGTCGATTTATGAAGAATATATGGTCCTGTAGCAGCCATGGTTGCTCTAAATCCTCTMAAGGAWMAATCCCAAAAGAAAAATTGAGGAAAATTCACATMTTTTYAGRAGACCACGAGGCAACACTTCTCTGCACAACTTTGCCACAAGAAAAGGCTTKTAGAYTGTGTGACGTAATATTCGGTCAAAGTCCACTTTGCCGCGGTACACGTGAACACACAGGGAACCCAACTAGTCTGGTGTAGAATTCTCCCAAATAGAGAAAAAAATGTTCTAATACATGCAAAAAATATAATAAATGACCTAAAGTTATAACATTTCCTGTTCCGTTGTTTTATTAAGTGCTGAAATATAAGCTTTTAGCGATTCTTTTTATATTGATCCATATTTGAGTTATGCGTATGGTAGGTACTATAAGGGGGGTATGTAAGCACGTATGGCACGCATGACAATGATTTTCGGCTTAAAGCTTTCCTTTCTTTATTCAGCGAGATACAAAAGTATGTAAAAACAAGAGCTTGAAGGTCAGAGCAAATTAACGCACTGAACATACAATCGTAAACAAGAAAAAACAACAACAAGAGTTTGATTTCAGTTATTACAAATTTAATCAAATATCAGAAAAAAGAAATGAAATCTTCCATTATCAATAACATGCTAATTAATAAATGGTTGTATTAAAATGCACAAGCTAGTTTGTTGATATCTACTATGGTCTAGTTCCTCTTTAAAATTTCCATCTCAAAAAGACTACAACGGAGGACCACGGGGGGCTGCCAAAGGACAATAGATCAACTGTTCTAGAAGATCACATTATTACATTCGATTTAAGATAATTGAGCAGTAATCTCTATGTACACAAGTATTGACGCTTTGAGCAATAYCCACAACAGTTGTCAAACAAAGACTTCAGTTTCTTTTCTCATTGCGAGGTGAGGTATTAGTCGTGGTGTTTATGCAATGTTGGTACATGAAAACTCGTCCGATTTCTCCCTAGTTTCGTTGAGATATTTGGAAATGCATCTACTCTAACAACATCACTGGCACTATGAAACGACTTTCAAAGAAACTAAGACTTGGAAAATCAAAAACCAAGTTGTACTCTTTAGAACCAGAGAAATTGAAATCCGACGAAAAACGTTTGCGACCTTTGAGTGTTGTTTTGAAGGAAGTAAGGAAGAAAAACGACTCGGGGAGTTGGATAAAGGAAGATGATAGAGAGGAAATCGATATCTCTTTATCTAGAACAGACTTGAAGCAAACGATTGAATTGAATAGCAATAATAATAGCGTTGTCAGCTATTCACATTTTGAAGAAGATACAAGCAGCACACAGGGGGAGGAGGACGATCAATGGACAAAGGACCCTACCCCCCACGGGATAAAGGACGTCATATTTGAAGCTGARCAGCTTAGTTTAAAAGCCCAATTAGAAAAATTGAGATGTAAGAATAATGTCCAAAATTCACGAAATGGAACTAGAGAGAAAATGAATCGATGGTCATCAATGCCAGCAATCACACATGGAGAGAGCACGAAGGACATCCATTCATCAACCCAGCACTTAACACCCAACAATTCATCTTTATGTAAAATTTCCAATAAAATGTACACAAGTAAATCGTTAAAATCAATACCAAGGGATCTTTCACCCAACAAAATGCGCAAAAGTAAAAGCGACAGGGGGTTACAGCTTGTTGARGAAGGATCATTGGCGTTACTACGAGCCGCAAGGAAYAACAGCGTACTACAAGCAAGTTATCTTATCAGACATGGAATATCAACCGAGATTCTCGACCAAAGGGGATGGACACCACTTTGTATTGCTTTGGAGCATGGTAACATAAAGTGCGCGGAAGTACTGGTACGTTGGAATGCCAATATTGACTTTATACATGAAAATGGTACATCTATACTACACCACGTGACTACCCTTGGGCTATACAGGGAGATTAGGTTCCTATTGGGCCATGGGGTTGACGTCAATGTTGAGGATGTTGAAGGCTGGCCCGCGGTGCATTATGGGCTACAAGGGCGTTACCTTAAATGTGCAGCCATGTTGTTAGCGAGTGGCTGTGATTTGGAAYGGTACACCAAGGCACGAGTGGACGAGTTTAAATCTGTTGTTAAGATGGCTACTACGGGTAGATGGAAATACATATGGCAGTCTAAGCTAGGCATTGATCTAGATGATCAAGTGGACTTATAAAATTCATTTGACAGAATCGGTGTAGACTTTATCATTATTTCCCTTTATAAAATAACTTTCATATTTTTACGCGCGCTCTGATTGGCCAAAAAGCCGTGTTTGATGAGAGCATAATACACGCTCGCGTCATTTTTTTTCTCGGCTTTTTTCATGGATATTTGAGCGCTTGCTTCGCGTCGTGGTTTCCTACGCTTCTCTCGTGTTCTCCCCACATCCCGCGTGTTTTTATCAGAGTATAATACGCGGAAAACTGTAAAAAGCTTACCAGCTCGCTCATTGTATCCAAAAATACCTCGTTTTCATGCACGCGTCTGCGATATTTTTTGTAAGCGCATGCGCATTATGGTGCTTTGTGGTGCGCGAGTATGACGATGGCATTCATCATAAATACGTCATAATGGTGAAATTGAAAGCGAAGAAAACCGTMTTCATTTCATCTCCTGCATGCTCCCGTGAATAGATTCCTCGACTACCTTTCTGCTGTAGTCTCCTTAAGGAGACGACACCAGAACGGATGCGAGGAATCTAGCTCTCTAACGGAGGGGGCCAATTCTCAAACTTTCTCATTGAATTTTGTCAAGAAAAGGTGAAAAAAAGGGGTTCCACTAAAAGGGTGAGTCGATATGTAGACCCGATTTATTTGCAATCTTCAGGATGTTGACAAATCTCTGCTGCGAGCAGAGTCCCTTTCAATATAATTTTCATTTAATCTTCGAGAATTTCATCAATCGTTCTCTGCCAGAAGGGAATGGTAAGACACGAGTTAAAAGTGCATATTTCACGAGCTCTTGACCTACGAGAAAATGCGAAATATTAAAAYCACTCAACTACTATTGCTTCCGTTCAAAAGGCCAACAGCTTTTTCACTTTTTCAATATATCCAGCATTAACGTCTTTGTTTTTTGTTATTCTTTATATAATTTATTGATTATTAAATATTGCAATGAAAAGATTAATATGAGCGAAATGCACGAATAAATATCAATAGCATAAATATTTACAATATATTACCGAATAAATACCAAGCATTGGTTGGTGCTAGTCAGTATATGAACATCATAATAAACAMAATCTTTTCGGTTTGATATTTGTAAAATTCGAACATCTAAAGACTTTTCGACCCTAGGTTTTTTCCACTATTGCAATGACATGCAGACATTTTTAGGTGCTTATATTTTAGTTTATGCATAGCATATTGAGCRTTTGTAATAGATCTTGCACATAATTAGTTGCACGYGAAGGYGTACAGTAGTTCGCTGTTGTATTTCATGTTCACTCGTCAGGGTTAACGTTGGCTGATCTAAGGCGCTTTCGTACGTCTTTGGCGATGGTTTTTGTCAGTTTGGGGTCCATTCCAGCCTCTGTTAGACAAGAGGAAAAGATGTTAGCTTACTTTATTTGTTTATCAWAGTGACAACGATAAAAGACCACACCAGTTTAAGAGATACGTTTCATTCACGACGCTTTGGATTGTGTAAAGTATCATTCAACTATTTTCCACGGTGCATCAAAAACCTCTTTCAATGTATAACAGCTCTTATAATAACAGCTGTAATTTCGTTAACTATCAACAGAATTGATGACGATGATGATAACAATGATGATGATGATACTGTCATCAACATCATTGGTTTCATTGTCATCATGAGTTCACAATCATCATTGGTACGGATGCATTGTCATCACCATCATCTTAATCCATCATTATCCTCATCATTTATTAGCATCATGTAATCATTCTGAAAACAGTCATTGCTCACCACTGGCTGACGTTTTGATTGTTAACATAAGCTCATCTTCGGGAATGTCACTGACTTTTGCCATCTTYGCCAAGAAATCTTCCTCTTCCTCCTAAATAAAATGACCGAGAGGTTATGACAACATAGAGTTCGCAACAAAATTCGTGGAATTACCGGATTTATGTAGCTTATATATCCACATTGATTTTGTGCACAGCAAAGAGACACAGATTAGCCGTTATAGGAGACTAACCTGTAAATCACTGACGAGTTGCTGATGCATTTCTTTCTCGACAAAYTCCATCTGTCTTCTCAGCTCAAATCGCATCTCATTCTCCAGCTCCTTGAAAGTGAAACAAGTGTAATTTAACAGATATGAATAAAGAAAAACAGGAAAAAYAAGRTATTACCTCCATTTCCCTCTTGTGYTGCTGTTCTGTTAGAATAGAATGGAGAGTACTGGATGCTGATCTACAGAGATGAAAGTGCGTCAAACATGATCATGATTAAGGTCTATATGGCTGCCATATTGGAATACTTACTTAACTCCTTTTGATTTCATTTCTTCTAACTCTTTTGCGCGTTTAGCTTCCATTGCCCTAGAATAATGGGAATAAATAAATGAATGAGATGAAAAATGGATAAATGTATTAAACGATTGGATAAATGAGCTTYATACTTTTCTTTTTTCAGTTGTTTCAATTGGATTTTCTCGCGTATATTTCTCATCTGCCGTTCTCTTTCTCTACAATGAGAWAATAACACCTTAACGAGACGTTCCTAAAGTATTCATCTACAAAGACCTTTACTTACAGTTCAATATTTTGGTTGAGTCTATCGACCTGTTTCTGGTGTTGCTTTAGTATTTTATCAGTCTGAATGTCTGCTATCGTTCCYTCTTTTGTCATCGTGTCAACGAACTTTTTCTTTAGGAAAAAAGAGCTATTATCAACAATATATTCATCACTATCATCAACATATATAATAGTATAACTAATACCATCTTTGTAATGATCACTATCAAAAGAGATMATCATTCTTTATTCAGCGCTTGGAAACGTATTTCATGCTAAACGCTCATCATGGAAGTCTTTACCTTTCTTCGTTAAGCTCGAAGTGGTTGASGGGAATGACGGAAAAAGGACACTTTAAGGCGTTGTCCTCGCCTTGATTGACAACGCGCCTCTTTAAAGAGCGAGAGAAGGGTCGAGTCTGTACATACCTCCAGATTACGAATAGCAATATCTCTGTTCTTTATGATTTCATCTCGACGGGTGACTTCAAGCTATAAGTAAACATAATGTTAGTATTAGCGACACGACCCACGTCGCGAAAACAAAGGAAGCAGACTCACTRCAAGAGCAGCCTTCATGTTTCTAAGCATGCTTTTATTACAATGTAGCAATTTTTATATTCTATATGAATCGATATTTCGACGTAGATTTTCTTGAATCGATATTTCGATATTTACTTGTAGTTTGCCTAGGATTTTTCCCAGCCGTTCATCTTGTTCTTTCAAAGCTTCTTCCGTCTCGGCTGCAAGTCTTCTTCTTAGTTCATCCAAGGCATCTTGGTGCTCTTCTTCCATTTTCTTGACTTCAGCTTGGTATTCTATGTTCTATAAACAAAAAGTAATTACTATAACAGAGTAATAACAACGAAGACATGACTTCCGATCAAAATAGTACAAGAAACCACAGGGAGAAGTACTGAGTTGAAACAGCGATAATTTGAAACACTCTGTTTAAGTTCCATTGAGAGTACTTACCTGTGCTCTCGCTAGTGTTTTCAACTGGTTGGGATCACCGTTTGTTTTTATTGATCTCTCTTCTTCCATGTTCTTTCTTAGCTCGGCTAAACGAGCGCGACGTTCTGCTAACCTTTGCTCGACTCTGAWAAGGTAATAGTGATAAGTTATTATCTGATTGATTGGAGCAAAATTTACATAATGGAAAAMGTGGTAGGTTTTCTGCTTGTAGCGGCCATYTGTACTCGGTGATAACACGTAGGGTTTGAGAAAACTCCGGAGAGGTACTTTCTTAAAAAAGAGAAAAGCGCGCGCAATTTATAAATGGATAGAGCACTCGAACGAAGTTAAATGTTCTGTCCATCTGCTTTGTGTTCTAACCGGAAAAGCTCACTCATTTGCCCTGACAATCAAAAGCGCTCATCTTATAATAGTTGTCAGGAGTATAATGTTGTTATTATTGTTATACTTCTTTTGTTGTCTGATTCTGCTGATCTGTAAATGGTTGTTRAGAGCCATCAAATTCTGTTCGTGTTCCAGCATCACTTGCTTTCGTAGCCTGAAAGAGAGACAAATGATGACATACAGTAATGAACGTTAACAATTATGGAAAACAACACCAGCACTAGAAATAATTTAATCATCATGCATCCAATTTAATCCTCCTCCTCCTTATAATCATGTTTACAGGCCGTAAAATAGTGACATGCAGGTGGATGATATACTGGGAAATGTTTTACATTTTGTACAATGACTTACTCCTCGTTCAGGCCAATCTGTGCGTTCAAAACTTGYTTTAACGTGTTTTCTTGTTCCGTGACCATTTGGTCCTGTTCTAGAAGTCTYTTCTCAGCTTCTCTTTCCCATCTATTCTTTCTTTCTTTTAGTTTCTCTTTGATGTCAGCTTGCTGTCTTTCCTTCTCTCTTTCTCGTTTGTCTTAGGAAAGGAAACGTAACAATTCTAATGTTAATTATTAAAAATTCCTCCATGTTGATGTTTAATGCGATTTTGCCGAGACACAAATGATGGCTTTTCAAATAATTCATTTTACATTGTTTTATGATGCATTGATATGATATTTAAGCTGCCTTCAAGCCATGTGGGTTRGCCAGAAAGAATTCACGAGGAGCATACGTAAAGAGTCCATTACTTACTGGAATATTCTTGTAGTTGTTCTTCGTATTTTTTCATTAGTCTGTCCGCTTCTTTCTCAGAAAGATGAGCCTGTTTCTTGATCTCTATGAACAACTCGTTTTCACGTTTGCTTACAGTTCGTCTCCAATGTTCGTTCAATTGCTACGGATATCGATACAACGTAACGTGTCAATATATCAAAACGTAAGACGTTTGTTTCCTAACGTAAGTGACTCGTAATTTCTGGTTTAAAAGACGTTAATTTTCTTACGTAAGACGTTAATTTTTGWACGTAAGTTACGTATAGTGGTTCAAGAGATTCTCCAACTCGTTTTCGCGTCTGCTTATAGTACGCTACAAATTTTATTCAATATATATAACCCTGTGAAATATATTTCCGATTAAGAATTTCATTGAAAATGTAGAAATTCATACCTCTTTAAGCTGTTCAAATTCCTGCGCTTCGTAAATATCGCTTGCATCCTCTTCGTCTTCCAAAGCAGCTTGCTGTTCGACCTTCAGTTTGTGATAAGCCTCCAGGTAGTCTTCAGCTGTCATGCTACTTTCAGCGATCAAATGATTTGCCTTGAGGAAACAATACAGGTCTTTTACTGATATCATGTCGTAATGATCATTATAATGACTGTAAGTACAAAAATGAGTGTTTTAAATAAATTATTTCTTATATAAAACCTGTTTTTTTTCATCAATCAGCATGCTTGCATCTTGGAAATTATCTATTACAAAACAGCATCACCATACAATACAAACCTTGGAATCAAATTCTTCTTTTTGTCCTTCTTGCTCATTCAGAAGGAGTTTTTCTTTTTGTTCTCGTTTCTTTCTTAATTTTGCAGCCAAATCAGCTTCATGCTTCAGTACAGCTGAAAAAARGTTAAACTACGTGTTAAAGTAGAAGTAACTAAATGAAGTTTCTTTGTGCACACTGTGGTAGGTTATGAAGGTACTATTGCTGTGATAARTGTGTAGTGWAGTCTATTTTAGTGTAGTGCAGTGAGGTTTGGTGCAGTGCAGTACAGTGCAGTGTATTGTAGTGTAGTGTGTAGTATAGTTTAGTCTATTTTAGTGTAGTGTGGTTTAGTGTAGTCTAGTACAGAGTACCGTAGTGTAGTGTAGTTTGATGTAGTGTAGTGTAGTTAAGTTTATAGTGTGCTGTAGTGGTGTAGATAGAAACATACCTTGTTGGTGGTTTTCCTCAAGAACTTTTAAATCTTGTTTATAATCTTCTAGGATGCTAATCAGGTAAAGTGGTTATCAATTGTTAAATTCAAAGTTGACAAATTGAGAATATYATAAAAGTTTTATGAACACAACTGCCTTAGCTCGCCTTTGGTATTTTTAATCTGTCATTTACCTCTGACTTTGATCATCAGTCAGTTTTCCTCTCTTCTTTAAGACTGCTACAATACTGTCAGGTGATTGTTTTCTCTCTTGATATTCTTCATTTTCTTCTTGTTTTTCTGCAGCCATTTTCTGTGCTATCAGCTGACGCTTTGCAAGGCGTTCATGTAAAATCATACTCTGCCGATTTAGTTCRTCTGCTCGCCGTTTCTCTGCAGCTGTGAAGTTTGTCATCAATTTGGACAAGATTTGCTTTGCCTAGTAATAAACAACACATGGATTTTGCTTTCATTTTCAATTCTTTTAAGTTTAAAATTTCATTGYACCATATGCCTTTACAGCATGGGWGACAGCATGGATGCAACATTATTGCAATTTTAAAGTACCTCTTCTTCAGACAAATCAGATTCATTTGTTAAATCTTGACCAAATTCCTCTTGCAGTTCAATAAGACGGGAATCCTATAAAGAAAAAAGTAATTACATCACCATATTACCTAAGACAATTGTCAACGATTAGACTGGCTTATTGGGGATTATGTTTCTTACCTTCTTCTTAGAGTATTTGGAGTGTAGTTGTTCTAGTTTATTGTCCAATTCTTTGACATCTGTAATGGTTTCATGCAATTCCTATTGATTTTCCAAGACAAGATTACTTCACAGTTTAATATCTATTTATTGTGTATTAATTATTAGTTGTACCTGTTCCTCTTGTTGCTGCTCCCTTTGTGAGTCTGTTTCTATGTCCTCAATGCTCTGAATAACACATGTATGTAATCATATAAGACATCATCATATAATAGAAACAAGACAATATCATTAATTATAGTTTTAACAAAGTCAATGACAAACCTGTTCATATTTTGCAATAGMAGCTCTTTTGAATGTTTCATCAATTCTTGTTTTACTCAGAAGGAAYGTGAGAATCATCTTGATCAACTGTAAAAATGTCTGATTGAAAAAGAAAGCTGATGAGTTTTCGTCATCATCATATTTATAATTTATTTAATAAATAAACTTACTTCAGACTTTTCTTTTCTCAAATCCTGTTCCATCTTCTGAATCAATCTAAAATCTTGACTTTGAAGCTCGACATCCATGTCTTCACTAAAAAGATTATGATGATTATAACAAGTGAGTGTAAAACATATCAAAAGTGCATTATCAACTGCATTAATAGTCATTAGAGCGGATTTCGTATGAGTGGGACACCATTACCGCACGGTTACCGCACAGTTACCGCACCTGGCCTGCAGAATTTTGGTGAAACAATGGGGCACTAGAATTTGGTTACAGTACGATTACGGACACAGTACAGTACCGTCCGTTTCCCACTCATACGAAATCCGCTCTAATATTACATACCCAGTTACTTTAATGAGTGCATCAGCAAAACAGTGACCTCTGCTTGTTTGGGTGAATGACGTTGAGAGACTTTGCTGACTTGCAAATGAATATGTGCGKTCCATCTCTATGGCAACAGTTTTGTTCTCCGGTTCATTGATTATCACTGGAAATATTCTGTTGCTTCCCATTTTCTGTCAAAATATTTTAAAAATGGGTTAAATATTGCTACAGGATGGACGCAGGCAGTCCAAAATTACAGACTGAAGGGGGGCGGGGGGAGGGGAAGGGATGGGAGGGTCTGGTTTCGTCATACATACCCACCTTAATCATTGAGGGGCTTTTCTTGACTTCATCAGAATCTTCAATTATTGTCGGTGCAGAAAAAGATTTATCCTTCCTTCTAGTGTTATGCTCCTTGGATGGAAAAATATCACATTAAAACAAGCAAGTTAACAATAAAAAACGTCGATAAGATGGGGACCTACCTCCATTTCTCTAAATATATATCGCATTATAAGAGCTCCAATAACAAGCCCAAGTAATAGAGCAAGTAGAAATGATAGAAATACTAGCCCACCRAGGGTATCTTCAAGAATCAGTGTGTCTACGACAGTTACTTGCAAGCAGTCGTTTGTCGCCATCTTGGATTTTGTCGTCTCTSTTTGTCGTTCAATTAAGTCAATTTACTGTAGTAAACCGATCAGTTTCCGTTAAATAATATCCATTGTAATGTTAATTAACCAGATCTTGATTTTTCTTTTTGTAAAGGCTTGATCAATCAGAGAAATCTCATTAAATACAAGCGATCAAATATGCAGTTGTCGATGTAGAACTTCCTCCAGGCGTTCCGTGTTGAACCAACGTTGTCATGGCACCWTTCCACAGGAAGCCCAATTTTCATTTCCCGGTATTTTTTGTGATTTACAACACAATTTTTTCTCAATATTTCATCAATCCTCTCTTCTTTTTGTTTATTTTCATACATTGTTTTAAGATGTACATATTTGATTTGCCAGTACTATTATTATAGACTATCAAAAATGTTTTGCTTCTAATTGAAAACCTATTAAATGTAGTAAACTCCATATCTGATAGATAATATTGAATTATTCATCAAGCTTGTTTTGGCTTTAAGACATTCATCATAGATCGCTGGAGAAGGACACTTTATTGGCTATGCATCCAATCTCATCAACTTCACACTCAACGACATCACCAACCTGGAATAAAAGTGGCATCGAGTAAGTAAACAATGGAAATACTCAACTTGAGAGTGATAAAGTATCTACACTTCTTGAAGAAAGATTTTTACAAACCTGTAGGAATACTGGTGGTTTTCTAAAACAGCCAACACCAGGCGGCGTCCCTGTTAATATAACGTCACCACTTCTCAGGGTCAGAAACCTGGACAGAAATAAATGGATGTAGAAATGAATAACTGGATGGGTAAAGAATGGATAGATAGATGGAATAGGCATATGAATGAACAGATGAATAAAAGAAAGGGTGATTTAATGGACTAGTGAACAAATAGAGAAAATTGAATTAATGAACAAAAMCCATGGAATAATGATATGACAAGATCATTGTCATAAACCAGCTGATACCTTGAGACAAAAGCTACCAACTGTGGCACTTTGAAAACAAAGTTTTTTGTGYTGGAGTCTTGCATCACCTTCCCATTTACTCTACATCGAATACCCAGCTTATGGACATCTATAAACAGAGACAAATAATAAAAAAACATGCTTAGTTTGATCATGTGTAAGCTTAAACAAGATGTCCATAACACACCAGAAATTGAATCCTTTGTAACTATTGCTGGACCCAAAGGACAAAATGAATCAAATGTCTTTCCTATAAGCCACTGCCCTCCATTCCGCTTTAGTTGCCAATCTCTGGCACTAACGTCATGTGCTACTGTATAACCAGCTACATGGTTCATGGCATCCTCTTCCTGATATGGTAAAAGTAAAAAACGTTAAAACTGGATGTTTGAGATATATKTTCCTTACTGAAATAAATAACTGTACCTTGATTTTTTTTCCTGGTTTTCCAATAACAATAGCAAGCTCAACTTCAAAGTCCAGCTCCTGTTGATATTWTGAGCTTTAATAATTGTTTTATAAAGAAAACAAAAACAAGAAAATCCAGAGAAGAGAGCTTAGAGTAAAGACTGATACCAACCTTGGTTTCCTCATTGTACAATATTGGATCCCCTGTTCCAACAATTGAGCTTGCAAACTTGTTAAARAACATGGGTTCTTTAGGAATGGGCATGTTTTGCTCATGACAATGGTCAGCATAATTCATACCAGCACAAAACAGTTTCTCAGGGTTGTAGATAGGGGCTTTTATCTTAATCTCTGATCTCRAAAGAACACCTTTACCACTGTCAACAACACTGAAATAGGATAAGACAATGTTTTAGTTTTCAATATTTATCATGAAAGATGCCCCTTCAAATAGTGAGAAAAAATGACAATATTGTCACTACTCTTTTGCATTGAGCAGATAGCATTGCATCAGACATAAAATCATCATTTTACCARTCATAACGACTGTGAAGATATTCTTTAAAATATCGAGACATATTCAATTATCAGACAGAAGATTTCCAGACCTTTGCGCTTTGACCTTCGAGTTGTCCAAGTCCTGCAAAAAATCCTTCATGTTTGATGGGATCGATGTATCTACACTACAAACATCGACTACATCGCCTCCGTCCTTCAGTTCTACACCAACAGATAACCKTCCTTCTTTCTCGAACTGGACTAAACGCATTTTGCTTACACAGAGGCCCAAAAAAACTGTGCAACTGAAAATATCGGATTCCTGAGAAATTGTTGAGGAACTGCAGAACGTGGCAGTCACGTAACCATCTTCGGGTTCCCTGTGTAATGTTTATTGGGGTTCCTGTGGTATCAAGAATTTTGCGCGTTTTTATTTCGTTTTTATACGAATAGACTTGTATGCGACTCAGGCCATCGGCCATTCATAGATTTATTTAACTTCGAGTTTGCTGCGTTACAAAATGACAATTCTAAATTTAATTGATTTCGACTCCGGAGTTCGTCCAGAGACGTGAAAAACCGAAGTGCCAAGTCGATTGTATACTATGCCGAGCGGCGAAGAAGCTTTAAATTTCCAACTGGATTTGGTCAAAAGGAAGGTTATCTACACCTAAATACAGTAAAGTATCTTTAATTAGACTGGATTCACATTCTCCTGTGATTTGGACTCCCGGAYATATAATTTTTCGTGACATTCTGTCCGGGAGCCTGTCCAGAAATCGTCGTTAAGTCATCGGGATTGTCACGAAATGTTCAACTGCTATATTGGGAACGATCCTTGTCGTGTTTAACTCGTTGKGATAATCACGACAAGTTCTTTCTGAAAAATAAGTAGTTAAGAATAGTTTTTTTTTTAAATTTTATGACAATGATAACGACATTAAAAAACGACCCTATATTTAGACAAAGATGATCACGAATTTCGTTATCATAACTATTCCCGTCCAGAGACGTGAAAAAACCTAAGTGCCAAGTCGGAGGGTCTCAATGATTAGTCGTGWGTCGTGAAAAAAAATAGACCAAATTTTTAGCCTTGAGCCGTGATGCAGACTTCCCATCGAGACCCTCAAGTCGATTGTATACTTTTCAACACCTTTAGGCATATTTTAAAATTAACTATGCTTTAGGGCACGAGTAGACCCTGCTGTCAGGATCTAGCCGATCATTTAAACTGCGGTATTATTTACATCCATGTTATAATTACTCTTATTCGTCTGATTATAGTTTTGAAATAAAACCCTGAAAGATTGCTAAGTTTTTCTTCATTTATTTATCAATGCTATACGGATTGTCATTCATCCTCTTCAGTAGTAACATTCAAGTTATATTTAGATTTAATAATTATTTGATAATCTATATTAATCTATCTGTTAACTTAAATCATCAAGAACGAAAATGTGGAACTTTCGAGTGTAATGTTGGCGTTTCAGAGGTCTTCAATGGTGTTCCGTTGAATCCCTGCAAATCTTTGATCATCTTGGCAACAGCTAGTATTGATGGTTTTCAACCATTCCCATGAGAGTGAGCAAAACAAAAAGGTCCACCAGTCACGGTGGTGGTTTTCTTTTGTCAGATCCACCAGCAATGGCGGACATCTTTTGTTTAACTTTCTCTCCTGGGAATGGTTGAAAACCATCAATCTGCCTGGTCTGTAAACCTCTAACGTTAAGAATTTCAAGAGATATATTTTTGTTGTGCTGTTAACTTGAATACGCACTAGTCATGTCTGTCTGAAATGAGAACTGTACACATTTTCCTGTGATGAATTAGAAAACAATAACGACAATAGAACAGCGCAAACAAGCACTTAGCAACCATCCCCACCCCTATCAAATATTAAATACACTGAAGAATGATTATTCAAACCCTGTACCTTTGCTAATTCCTGAGTTGAGCTCTGATTGGCTCGCTGCTCCCTAAGGATTTTGGTGACGTCATATATTAGCATAGAACTTCACCGAATAGACTATCCCGATTAGATATTAGATATCTATAAGTGTCTTCATAGTACGATGGTCTAAGAGGGTAGCTAAAGGTATGCTCTAGTGGGCGGCTACCCCCTCACTCCCTGGCCTTTTGGTTAAGACTAAGTTTTATGTTCACTCGGGATAGCGTGGAAGGGCCGAAATCTCTAACCGTAACGTAAGCCGATTCGCCGCCTCAGCTTCATAGAATGTCTCGGGGGAATCGTCCCATCTTTTTATTTTTTTTTTCATTTTCATTATTTCTTTTGTATTCCGGGGGGGTACGTCTTTGCCTGAAGCGAAAGTTCTGAGTTCGAATCCTGCTGCTGTAATTTCTCTTTTTTCTTTTTCTTTTGTTTTCTGTTGTTTTTTTGTTTTTTTTTTTACTTCTTTCTTTCTTTCTTTTCCGTTCTTTTTGTTGTTGTTTTTTTCCTCTATAGATTTTCTCTTTTCAACTTTAAAACATATCAAGAAATTGCAAGGAACGCCTGCTGCAATGGATGGTTGAGGTTGGGTCCCGCTCAACACGATGGCATAGTGACGCGAGGCCACACAAGGCCTTTCGTCACAAAAATGAATGAAAAAAATGAACGAAACACGAATGATGGGATACATAATGGGATAAATGCACACTTACACATGTCGACGAACCAAGAGTAAAATAAATGCAATAATATATTGCTCTCAAAGCGTGACCAGCGGTAATGAACTTCATATTCKATTTTTCTGCGCGTACAATCCGTAAATTACGTAGCTTCGTCATGCAGTTTGATAATCGAGGTGCATGTCTGATGTTTGAGTTTCCYAAGTGCTTAATAGAGTGGTTTTCATTAACTCGTGAAACACACTTCTGCGTATTTATCGCTATTACATTTTCGCTCTTTTGTTTTTTTACGATCTATTACACTCTAATTATTGCATTTCGTTTCACGGGTTTACSAAAACCACTCTAGTTGAAAGAAAAAGAAAAGAAAGAAAAAGAAAGAACTACACTCTAAACTGCGTCTTTCAATACATTAAGTTTATTTTTACAATCCAAAAGAGTCGAGATTTTACAAAGTTAAGCATCTTTCAAGAATCCCGATGRTTATTCGTCCATACTGTCATCACTATCGCCTTCGTCCTCACTAACACCCTGCTCTACGGTGATTTTGAATGGATATTCTTGATCACAGCCCATGTAAGCATCACACATGAAGAACAAAGTGTAGGAGTAGGTTCCCGGGGACGACGGAGCAACGAAGTCCAGACGCACCTTTGCCTTCTGCTGTAGTGTGAGACGTTTGATGGAAATGAGTCTAAAAGAAAAATTCAAAAATTTTAGCCATTACACGGGATAAAATTAAGTATACAAGTGTTAAGGGACAGAAATTTCCACATATAAAAATATATAAGGGGTTCTGAAATCTTCTCTAGGGAGGTAGGGAGGGCGGTAAGTCATCCCAAGAAGGGGTTAGTTACATACAGCAAAACCGGTCAGAAATAAGATAAAAAACTAAAGGGAAATTACTTATAAGGTGTGATGGGCTGCGTGCCCCACTGCACCCAAGCGCAGTATCTCTTATGGATATAGTGATGATAAATTTGCTTACCCGTTAGCTTTGGTGTCGCCAATAACTAACCACCAACCCTCTTCTCTCTTCTGAGGGAAGAACGGCGCAAACACYGGMCCGGCTTGCTCATCCTCTCGCTCTAGCTCGACCACTAGATTCACAGGTCGACCACTGCAAAAGAAAATAGTGCTTGATGGAATAAAAGTGAAAAATTCAGCATAGAAAAACAAACTTAGCCCTCTTGCAGGACTTTATCTATACTATTAACACCTGACAACTCCAGTCAATTGTCGCCAATGCTGTTACACAAACACATCTTACTAATACGGCCCAGCAATGGTTGACTACACTAAACAACGTTTTTGAGAGTGTTCGGAATAGCGAAAGTCGACTGTAGAATTAGTTTTAGTTAAAAGAAAACAAGCTCACGTTTTTATATCACTCTTGTCAAGTACTTCATAWGACAGCTCGATGTTTGGATATCTGTTGCAAAAACGAGCTACATCCTGAAATAACAAGATAAAGATCAGAATGGTTTTATAAATGGAAGTAAAGGTGACGGGAATTTCTATTCCTGTTACGAAGACTTGCCTGCATTTTGCTGTCATCAAGTTTAAGAAGCTTATTTCTCTCCTCGTCTTCAAGGTCCATGATATCGAACACTGACTCCACATCCTGTAGTGAAAGAAAGGAATGGATGAACAAGTAAATGAAAGGGCAGACAAATAAATGGATGATTGAAKTTATCACCAAGATAGTAACCAAGAAAATGTCTATTTGTCAATAGCTGACCTTTTCAGTACATGCTTTGATGATTTCCGGGGTAAAATGAGGAATCTGTTTCAAGTACGAATCCTTACTCCACATTGCTTGGGTTGCCTGTGTAATTTCAATCGGTACGTTTTAATATAATTACTACAATAATTAATTCCATTAATATGTTACCATTTGAGCAAGTTCCATGGCAGCCAAGGCTGGAGATARCCAACCGTTACTACTCAACACATCAACACACGCTTGGATCAGTCGCATCGCCTGTSAAAGCGTCAAAAAACAGTTTGAAAATGACTGAAGCTTGAACCTTAGTTTTTTCTTTSGTTCTTACCTTTCCTAARATAATTTCTGTATCAGATTGTAATTCAGGCGAGAGCTGCATGCGCGACAAGTGAGCCTGTAGCAGTAGGTTTGTCTTGATGTGAGGATCATTGAACTTTGGATTTGAAACCTTGTGCACCACACGGTTTAACAACTGAAAAACAAAAATTTACGCATTTAGAAGCTATTCCATCATATCAAAAGTCGCGAATATGAAAAAAATAAGTAGAAGTGGAAGAGAGGGAGCAAGTTTTACCTGTTTTAACGTTGCTTCTTCATGATGACGGATGGGAAGCTCTTCATATTCAAATGCCGAGGCAATGATTTCAATCAATCCTCGTAGCTTTGTTTT